CGCCTCCAAACAACACATTATTGAGCTTCAAATGTGTAATTACACTCATTTACATGTGATCACACGTCACTATAGTGTATGGCTGTGAGATTAATGCATCCCTATTTGCCTTTGAAAGTGTTTCTCCATTAATTACTATGTATAGCTGTGCCCTCTGCTGGATGGAAATGGGTACTATTTTGTGGAGCTATACATAGACGACACGGTGTGTTAGAATCACATCTATTAAAGAAGAAATTTTCATTACTTGAATTCTGAGTAATATTTCATAAATTAGTTGGCCCCATCCCACACCAATCCCCTAATCCTCTTTATAAATTACTGATAAAGAATCTCATCTACTGAAGATTCAAAATACTGTTAAAGATTAGGTCAGTCCTGTCTATCAGCTCATAGTGACTTGTTACTTCCCCCAAAAAGTACTCGTGATTTAATATAATAATAAAAATATAGATTAATCTTTTTGAAGCATCCCACAGCTCAAGAAAATGCATAATAAAGCCTTTCATTATAGTATTTAAGTTTGCAAATATCCAAATAACCACAAGAATCTTCCCATTTAATTTCATTAGGTCATTTAACCGGTGTTTATTCCCAGGTAGTATGCTATGTTTTAATGACACAGAACCAAATAAGGCATGGCCCCAATTCTCAGGAGTTTTATCATTGAGTAGAAGATGCTGAGAAGCAGATGACCAATTCTGGAGTTGCATGTATCAGGAACACTGGGACGGCCCAGATCCCCCTTTAATGAAGCACCTGTTGCTGCAGCCTCACCCAACACCGCACCCCCTTCATGTCCAGTGACTGCTCCATATGGGAGAATAAAGGCCCTGACATCTCAGCCTAACTTCCACAACTGAAAAGGGTCATTTTGGGTCCTGAGATGCTGCGGGGTCCATGGAGACTGATGTTAGGCCACATCTAAGTTCGACTCTTCTCTCTATCCCAGTACTTCTCAACTGGGGACAATTTTGCCCTCCCACTGCCATACTTAGCAATGTGGGAACATTTTTGGCTGTCACAACCAAGGGAAGGAGAGGTGTGTATATGTATGTGTGTGTGCTACTGGCGTCTTGAGGGTAGAGGACAGGGATGCTGCTGAACATCCACATCTAGCAGCGCCACCGCAAAGCATTACACAGTCCAGAAGGTCAATGTGCTTGCTGCCAGTTGAGAAATCCTGTCGACCTAATTGCTTTATTTTCCTTTCATAGGCTTTGGACCCAAGGTCATTCATTAATAAGCATCCTGCACCCTAAACTCCACAGTTGAGTCAAGTTTCTGCGGAACAATTACAATAGGATCTATCACAAGAGACCATTTGGTTTTATATAGTGTGTATATAAGCAAGACAGCAGTATGTATGCCTTTAAATATATTAATATACAACAGAACTGGAAGGATGACTCTAAAAAGTGGGTATTTTAAAGTACTGGAACTGTTTCTTGTTTTCTTTTGTGCTTAAGTGCCTATGTTTTCTGAGATTTGTATTTTTGTTCTTACGTTTGTCTTCGCGTTTTGGTTTTTCTTTTGTTTTTTGTTTTTTTGTTCTGTGCATGAAACACATGTTCTTTTTGCAATTCGGGGAGGGAAAATGTGGTAATTGTGAAGACTGAGGGCATGGTCAATAGTATCAAACACTGCAGAGAGGCCAAATAATACTGGATAACAGACAGGAAGATGTCAGCAGAGAGCCTCGGTGAGGATGATCTCCAAGGATTTCCTTGCCATGGGTTTGAAGAAGCTCTACATCTTCTCACCGGCTTTTTGGCATACCGGTCAGTCTGATCTCCAGCTGTGGAGTGTTCTCCAGAGTATTAAAAACAGGACATGTCATGCTGCAGCTGACCCTCGTTTTCTTCTCACTCAGACTGCCTGCCTCTCCCAGACACCCCCTCCCACCCCCAAGAAACACTAATGGGAGATTACTGCAGCATATGGTCTCAATAGACCGTGGAATTTTTAGGTGCTCTATTAAAAGGAATGGTTCTCAACTGGGACCAATTTAACCTCCCTTCCCAGGGGAGTTTTGGCAATTTTGGCTAAACATCCTACAATGCACAGGGCAGCCCCCACAATGAAGAATGATCTGGCCCCAGATGTCAATAGTGCTGTGGCTGAGAAACCCTGCTTTAAAGAGTTCCTTACCTGCAAGGACCTTTTCTCTTCTTTTTTAAACCCTCACCCCAGAATATGTTTATTAATTTTGAGAGAAAGAGAGAGGGGAGCGGGGGGAGAGAGAGAGAAACGGATGGGTTGTCTCCCGTATGCACCCTCACCGGGGATCGAACCCACAACCTGTTGGTGCAGGGTAGATGCTCCACCAACTGAGCCACCCAGCCAGGGCTGTAAGGGCCTTTTAGAGTCTTGCTAAAATCCATATAAGTGTTATTTATAATTTGAGTTTCACATCTAAAACAATCAGAAAATACCTGACAACAGAGTGATGAATGGTACGAGTGATGAGTGGTAGGATTTATAAATTTCCACAAGGTGGCACTAAAACACACATGAAAATCCAACCTTCTCCAGCCTCCATTTCAGAACTCAGTTTCTCACTCACCCTGGTTAGCTCCCTGGGGTAACAAATGCCCATCCTTTTCAAAAGGGATTGTCACTTTTTCGTGCTTACTGTTCCCCACCACCAGTATTTTCATGCAAGTGAATTAAAATGATTAATGACTAAAACTTACCCCGGAAGATAAAAAGAACAGGGCCACCTTCTCAATCAGCTACAGAATTTCTACTCCCTGTACCTACAAGGATGTGGAAGAATCTGCTAGACTCTTGCCTTCTTTAGCTAACATTTAGCTGGGAACATTTCAAAGATGCCACTACCCTTAGGATGGCTGAGTGATAAAGCTCTGGCCGTGAGGGTGATTTAAGCAGAAGTGCTGTTGGAGACTTCCGGGTAATACCCTTAAAGCAGTGGTTCCCAACTGGGGATAGCTTTGCCCCTAGGGGACATTTGGCATTGTCTGGGACATTTTTAATTGTCACAACTGGGGGATACTGCTAGCATCTCCTGGGTGGAGCCCAGGGATGCTGCTAAACATCCTATAATACACAAGAGAGCCCCCAAACACAGAATTATCCAGCTGCAAATGTAAGTTGTGCCAAGGTGGCGAAACACTACCTTAGAGGGACAGGGCATGCCACAGCTTCTTATTCCTCTCTTCCCACTGGCTGGAAGGAAGGTACAGCGGTGCACCATCTTGGGCCATGTGGGCCAAGGCAACAAACCAGGGAGCATGATGCTACAAGATAGGTGCGATCTCAGTCCGCAACCCAGTGGCTCTACCTCACCACTCTGGACAACTTCCAGCCAGAGAGACAGAATATATACACACATTCATGGTACTGTGGTATATATACTCATAATACTCCAGTAACTGCTCTACCTGAAACATAGCTACTCTCGCCTGCTTGTCCTATCTTTCCCAGCAGTCCCTCAGCTTTTTCTCCCTATCTTCCCCCTCTTCCTGCTTTTCTTCCTCCCCTGCTGCAGCCTCTTCCATAAGGCAGGTATTTCAACAGGCCCCAATTGATTGATCAGCCTCATTCCATACCTGACTTTTCCCAGAAGACACTACACTTTCACCATTCCCTAAACCCCCTCCTAGCCATAGATATCTCGTTTCACCCCACATCCATTTTTTAAACAGTAGGGGAAGAACCTTGTCTAAAATAATCCCCCTCAAAATATACTTTCTGTCCAGTACCCTAATAGATTTTCTTCATATAACTTACCATGGTATACAATTATATTGTTTACTGTCTATGCTCAACTGAAGAGTGTTAATTTTATGAGGTCAGAAATGCCTTGTTCACTACTGTATCTGGTAAATAGAACAACATTTTACAATAGACATACATAAATACATAATGTATGACACATGTATAATTTTAAATGCTTTACTAGCTGTGTTAAATAAAGTAAAAAGATATAGGTGGAATTAATTTTAATCTTATATTTTATTTTATCTCAACAGTTCTTCCCTAACATGGTCTCACTATTAAAAAAAGGAGATTTTTATCATCTTTTTCTCATACTATTTCTTCAAAATCCACTGTGTAACTTACCCTTACAGCATATCTCAATTCAGCTACATTTTTAGCTGTGAACAGCCACATGTGTTGAGTGGCTGCAATGGACAGCAGAGATAATAATACATGAACACAGTAGGTATCCAGTACATCTTTGTTAAGGTTAATATTCTTCTGTATTATGTGATTCTTCCATAGCACAAGAAGAGCATAGCAATAATGTCCATGCTATTAATTAGCCTAACTTAGCCATCTCCTGCTATTAGGCATGTGTCCAGTATTTACTTCTTAAAATAATTCTGCAATGAGCATCCAGTTCACATCTTTTTTCTTGGAATTCCCAGAAGTGAGAATTCTAAAACTAAAGCCCTCTTTTAAGGACTTGCCATATTTTACTAAGATACCCCAGACAAATATACCACTTAGACTTCGAGTGGTTTATACTTGGTTATTACTGAATCCTTTGCGATACTAACAGGGAAAGTATTGCTGATAATGATTGTGATGATAAAAATAATGTTAATAGGCACTATGTGTTTGCTGTAACGCTCCAGGCGCTGTGCACAAGGTATTATTCACAAGCTGAGGCTCGCGGAGGTTAATAAACTAAGCGCTAGATTAGCTCTCAAACTCAGATCTGGGTGGCTATTTCCAAAGCCTCGTCGTTTCCCTGAGCCAGGACCAGTCTCCCTTGAGAGAAGAGCGAAATGTCAAACGCAAAATAAGTACTACGGGGACCTGGGTAGTGCAGAAACGACCCTCTTCTTCTCTCCCCGCTAACCCGTCGGCACAGATACGGCCGACCGACCCGGGCGCTGGTCCGGGTCTAAATCCTAGTGGCGCGACCACGGCGCTGCACGGAACTCCTCTGCACCCAGCACCTGCCACCAGCGGTTCCCACTCTCAGCCCACAGGTGGACCCTCAACCTGCGCCCGCCCCACAGCCTGGTGAAGAACACTCCACGAACGTGGCGTCACCCAGGGCGCGGGCGGGACTTCCGGCGCGCAGTGCCTACCCAAATCGGAAGCTCACTTTTAGTCGCCCAGGCAACAGCTCCTCCCACTCACGACCCACAGGAAATAGGTCCCTGCTATCCCACCGCCCAGGATCGGCAAGCCACGCGCCCACGAGGTGACTCCGGGGGACGGCTGGGTTTTCTTTGGGAAGCGAAGGTGGAACCTGGAGGCCCCGGAGTCTGGAGGCCCCGAGAGCTGAGAGCTTGGCTGTCACGTTGTCGTAGTAATTATCTTCCCGCAGTTATTTGTGAGAGGGGACTCGTTCCAGTAGCTCTCAGCTCTGATGTGCATGAGACTCACTATATGACTTTTAAAATTCTGATTGCCAGGCCATCCCAGATCGATTAAATTCATATCTCCAGAAGTAGGGCCCAGGCATCTGTATTTCTATTAAAGCTCACCATGTGATTCTCATGTGCCAGTAACATTGTGTTAAGCTGGGGGCAGACTCATTCTTGAAGGAACGTCCGGGATATTGGTCCTTATACTCAAAAATTGCTGCTTTATTTTCCCTGGCGCTTTGCTCTCTGGGGGAAGTCAGGGGATTGGGTGGAAGTTGTCTGGAGAATATTTGCATCAGTGGTCTTTCATGCGCCTTGCCTGCGGAAGTGGAGAATGTCTTTGCCCTTTTTTCATCCGCAGTATTTGAATTGAGCCAGTAACCAACGAAGTACCTTTTAGCTTTGAAATCCAGAGTCCCTTAGTACAGACCAGTTGGTTCTGAACAATTTAATTTTTTTCGGGAATGATTTGTAAAGTTGTTTCACAGGCTAGGTTCTGTACTCAGCTGTCTTGCACCTGAATTCAGAACATTACTTGAAAGTTCAGACTAAAGATTAATAACACAAATAAGACTTCTGGGGTTATTTACTCTCAAAATACAATTTACAAGTATATAGCTTATAAAATTAACAGTCTCTTTGCGATGACAATGCGAACCGAAAACCGTATATTTTAAAAGATTTTTAGTAACTCCAGATAGGCATAACTGACGCAAGTTCACTGTAAGGCATGCAGATCCCCTATGAAAGCTCCTTACCCTGCTGGGGAAGTATATAAACTAAAGGTCCAGAGAGATTTTCATTCTAAAACTGTTTTACAGGTGGGGAAGGACTTGTTCTTAGGATCCACAGTTGAAAGTTGGGCTGAGATGAGAGGGAGAGGGGAAATGGAACAAGTAGGCTGGAGTAGAGACTGGAGGGTGCAAACTAGCAGAACTAGCAGAACTGCTGGAGCTACTGCCCCACAACAGCACAGAACAGTCACAAAAGTGAGCCAGTGAAGAAAGTACAACTATGGTTGATCAGATGAATTGAAAATATCTTTGAAAACGTTAACATATTCAAATGTCTGCTTTCTGAAAGGATTTGGAGCTTTATAATGTTTCAGTGACTAACTATTGAGGGAGTTTAGGAAGGGTAGCGTTAGGAGGAGAACGTGTTATCAGAAAATGACAATCCCAGCAGCATCCAAGAACAGGAAATATTAGCTACAATTTTTTATACTAGAAGGAAAATAGGAAATTTGAAAGAAATAGATTGCAGAATCCATGCCTACAGGTAACTGACTGAACACCCAAGTGGGGCATAATAAGTGCTGTATACATTCAGAGAAGAAAGATTGAACATGCAATTACCATGTATGTGTTTATAGAAGTAAAACTTGAAATAAGGCTCCTAACACCTACTGGTGGTCTTAACCACTTTAAACTAGTCATGAGTTTTGCTGGTAGGCTCTTAGCCTGTAATATCTGACTGGTCCGCCCTTATTCCTTTATGCTCACATGAGGTTTTACTGTATGAAGGGTAAACTTGCAGTGAAGAGATCTTATCTGTTTCCTTTTATGAGTTGTATTATTATTATGTCCTCAGTTACCCCTGTTTTCAGCTCTCCCATTGCCTCTTGGGTTCATGAATCAGAGGGCAACTTTGCTTTGGGGTATCCATATTTCACTTCTGATTCTGATATTAGCCACATAGGGATTCGGTGAACTTGTAAATAAATCCATTCACAAATCTAGCACTCTTGCTGACCAATTAAACAATGCCAGTCTCTGGCAGAATGTTCGTTTTGTTAAAAAAAAGAACTCACTACGTCCTTTCAGTCTCCTTCCCTATGCTATGCCTTCTTTGTGGCATTACTTATTGCAACACCCAGACAAGAGTAAACTGGGGCTTGAGGTTGAGGGAATAGGAAATAAAACTCCATTTGGGGGCTCCCTTGCCCATCAGTTTTAACAGTGGCTGGTAGAGACGGAAAGATGTGGGCTTACTGAACGCCGAAGCCCATGCACTTGCGGGAGGCCTGTGTCTGGAAGATGGAGCTTGGACTGCTGAGAGTGGAAGACCATTCAGACTTTAGCCACCTTTGATGTCCACGACACTAAGCAGGAACCATGCACAGCCACAGGAGAGAGCCCGTGAGGGCAGCAAGCCAGATGAACTTGCCAGCCTTACCATGTGGCTGGGGGTGGGGACAGGAAACAGTGCGCTCAAAAAGCCTCATTTTATTATTTCTCATGGTTGAGGAGGTTCCTACCATTGCATGTTGTTGAAAGACATCTACTCCAATAGGGTTATTGCTGCATAGACAGAGATTCCTTAGAACCGCACAACTCAGTTTATAGAATTCAGATTTCTCTCTGTACCTTTGCTTATTTTGAGTGATCTCCAGCAGAAACCCCTCTTCCCTCTACCTTGAAACTACTGAAGGCCTCATTAGATCCCTGAAATTATCCGGTTGGCTCAGAGAACCATATTGGGGGTGGGGGAAGCCTTATAGGAACCGGTCAACTTTCAGGGCTTTAACTGACTTTCAGGGCTTTAACCAGCATAACTTATTTAATGACTGACTTTTCATGTGTTTCTTTGCAAAAATCAAAGTAGGTGAGGTTTCATATATTTAATTTTCAGAATTCTAGTGGAAAAGAACGGTAGAGAGGAAAATCCGGTTCCAGGTTTATCATTTTTAGGTGTATTTGTGGTTTTATTTATCGGGTTGCTGTGATACACCCTAGATCCTATATTTATAAGACTATAAAAATGCAATAAATATGCAATGGAAAGAAGATATCCAATGCCACTACATTTCAACAAAGCCACATTACTTCTTTGGGAAATTTTTTTAATTGATGAAAATAGTCACAGTGTATCCATTGAAAACTACAAAGCTCTTGTCTGTTGTTATTCATGTATTTTTATGCATGTAAAACTGTATCTTCCAGGATAAGCAGATTCAAAGAAGAATGAGTACATTTTTTCAGAAAGGCTTTCTGGGAAGATACATTGTTGACGACTCAGAGGCAGTGTCTTGCCCCTGGGCCTCAGCAGCGTTCAGTGAATGACCTCAATGCTGTTTTTATTCCTTCCTTTTCTGCTGGTTGAGGACAGACGATGAATTCAGTCTCTGTACTTGCCGGGACTCAGCTGGGCAGTGACTATTCTGCCATTGTACTCACTGGGGAGAGCTGCCCGGTTGGTAGTGCTGTGGATCCGGGCCTGCCCTGACATTGCCAATATCTTTTCTTTCAGCTGCACCATCCCATTAGAAAAAAAACTTGCCGTTCAGTCCCCGAAGTGTGTCGTTAGAGTAGGAGACACTCCCAGGGAGGTGGGGAATGAAAGATAAAAGTGAAGACCAGTGAGAAGACATCAGAGTGTGCAGCGACCATAAGCTTTCTTTTCTTTGAGATGGTACTGGTATCTGTTGGTGGTGGTGCTATAATGTCTAGAATGTTTTTAAGGTTTGCCTTTCAGAAGCCCCGGTGGCTTATGAGGTCTTTAAACATTGTCTGTGGACAGAGTAACAAGCTTTAACAAGTTAACAGGACCCTTCCCTTGGGAGCTAACTGGTAAGGCCAGCAGGGAAGGATATAGATCCCTTCTTCCAATGATTAGACCCTGGGAACTCTCTCCCGTTTCCCCTCCTTGTAGGCAGTGCCAGTGCATTCTAAGCCCTGTTGATTGATACTATTTTGTGGGAGCTGGTCTTTTTTTCCCTTAAGTCTCTAAATGTCTATGTAGATCTTTAAGAAATGTTTCAATTTGTTTATTTAGTCATGGAGATCATTTTTTTGGGGTCCCAAATATGAGAAATTGGTCGTGAGATTGTTGTTGGTCATAATCTGTATTCTCTTGCTTCTACTCATTTTATTCTGTGTCTAAGTGTGAGAATCTGACATTGCTCCAGTGATTTCCAAGTGGAAAGTGAGAAGCAATTAGGATGCTTGGCATATTCAGAGCAGAGTTCATACATCTTAATGAGGTAGGCACATGCAATGGGTGGGCAGCTGATGGCCCCTTGCTTGTTTGTTGTACTGCGCAGGAGTTAAGAATGGTGTTTACATTTTTAAATGGTTGGTTGGGTTTCTTTTTTTGAATTAAAAAAAAAGAGTATGAAGAGTATGTGACAGAGACTGCATGTAGCTCTTAAGCCCAAAATATTTACTATTTGACCCTTTACAGAAAAAAAAAATTGCCAGTATAAAATACCAAGAGTAATACTGGAAATAGCAAGCTAATAATAATTATAAAGCTCTATGCAAGCTGGTATTCCTTTTGATGTGTTTTTTTCTATACTTGATCTTATTTGACTTCTCTTCTCTCTCTCTGATTTTTGAGAGATCAATTGACTAATTTGTCATTCATTCTCAGGAACCATTTTTAATTGACTATGGGATTTTAGGAATCTTTAAAAATGCTTAAAATGTAAAATGATATGATATGTACATTTTGGAATTTGAGAACTGGAAATAAAGCCAAGGATGAAATGAAGCATATTCAACATGAAACCCTGGGACTCCATACTTGCTGGAGGATGGCAGCAGATTTGATAGTAAATGTCCTAGTGTCCAAAACACTGCAGAAAGCATAACCAGATTAAAATTGAGGACAAAGTTGCCTGTATTCCATCATTCATATAAATCCATCTTCCCCTGATGGCCTGGGTCTTAGGAGAGGCTAGCACTTTAGCTGATTAATTGGTACACTTTATAAATAGTCAGCACACTGGGCTGAATCAGAGCTGCTTCTGCTTTAAATGCTGGAATTGGCTTTCTTCGGGCATCTCAGCTCATAGTCCTGGAGTCTTTCTTGCAGAAATGTTCAGTGTGCCTTGTGTGATCTCTAAGGCAGTGTAACATGGCAGCCCTTGTATCAAATTACTGGGCGAATTAAGGGCATAAATAAGTAATCTCTCCTCAAATTAGCACTCCCTCCGCCTTTTTAATCACAGCCATTGACATTGAGCAGCCTGGCGGGCATGATGGATTATACTGGAACTTCTTAAACAGTTGCCTACTTTATCATGTCTTCCTACACTCCTCACTCCGTGAAGTGGATCCTCGCACACGCCATCTCGTGCATTTGCAGAATATGGTACCACTGCTTTTAAAGCCAGGCTGGATTGTCCCAATTATAAATAAAGTCAGGATTTTCTGAGGTCCGCAGTAGTGTTCAATGACAATAAAGTTTATTACATATTTGAGGCTGTCAGACTTCCCAGTTTGGGGTCATTAATATTCACATTAATCTGGGTCTAAGTACGTTTTATAAGGCATAGAAGTCTGGATTCAAACTTTAATCTCCAGAAGACATGCAGATGTCTCCTCGACTTTTCTAATCGAATTTCTATACTCCTTGTTAATCTTCTAAAACAAATTTGATTAAGACACACATGGAGTTCACTTTAATGTCATTATGCACTGTAGGCTTTCAGCGATTCAGATATCAGTGCTGGATGAAGACTGGCGGGAGTGAATTTGCCACTTAAAGGCTGCACCTTACAGTTTAGCACTCAAGTGTGAGCTGATTTGTACCATAATTTCATTTTGTGTCCGTCTTCTCTGGGTGGTTAGCCCCTCAATTATATTGACTTTTATATTTCTTCAGTAGCCTGTAAAGCACACAGCAGCTAGCCAGGTTTTCAGATAACGGCTCGGGTTTTAAACCTTTAAATTATAGTTTAAAAGTAATGTGAACTGAATTTGCACTTACATTTTAACCGCATCTGTTAACTTTTTTCCAGTTTACATTCACTGCATGTGTGTGTGCTTCTGCATTTAGAACAGTGAACAGGAAGTGCAGGCTATGTGTAAGATAAATTTACAGAAGGTCATGTCAGCCCTCTTGGAAATACCCTATTTGAAAGTTTTCCATATATAAAAAGAATGCGAATGGTTCTCTTTTAGGTTAAATCTTAAAAGAAGTGGTCATTTTAACATCTCAGTTTTCCCATAGTACCCATAGCAAACCATCTGATCAAGATTATGAAATAAGTTTATTTCTTAAGACTTGGAGGTTTGTAAATGTTATCGTGCTAATAAGAGAAGTTAGGGACAATAGGACTCCTTCAGTGTCTGATTTCTAAAGTTTAAATCCTAACTAACTGCTCAGCAACACATGGTGTTAGTGGTTTCATCTCACAGGCGCTTCAATTCTCACGCATTTTAGAGTTATTTTTATTTCACTTTTTAAAGTAGATTCTGGCATAGGTATCATTTGAGCAGCTCTAAACTCCTGAACAGGAAGACAAAATATTAAAAGTCTGTTTGAAATAGGCTGTAAAAGGTGCAACCTGAACTTTACCTTTAGGTACTTCCTGTCCTATCAGTAAAGCACAGGCAGGCAGGGAGGCAGTGGGGGCAGAGCAAGGCTGGCAGGGAGAGGCCCTCTGCACGGTGACTTGGTGGAGAGTCCCCGTGGATCAGCCTCCCCGCTTGCGCAGGGGCAATGTGGTTAGACAGGAAGAGCACGGGGTCACACACTGGCTGAGAGGTGCTTGTCACCATCCACACCAAAATAAGGTCTATTGAGGGGACTTGGGAGACCTGTCTTGCAAGGGTGTCCAATCTGCAGCCCGTGAGCCACAAGCAGCCCGGGACAGCTGGGAATGTGGCCCAACACAAAATCGTAAATTTACTTAAAACATTATGAGGATTTTTTGTGTGTATGATTATGTGGCGCAATGTATTTAATATGTGGCCCAAGACAACTCTTCTTCTTCCAGTGTGGCCCAGAGATGCCAAAAGGTTGGACACCCCTGCCAGAGAGTCTTCTCTGAGTCCTAGGTCTAAGGCAAGACCCAACAAAGGTTTCCAGTGAGTTGGCAAGACGTAGTCCATTCAAGCCTTAGAGACATGCAAGTTTAATTTAAATAGGCATTGGCATGAGTTCAGGATTGGTAAATAAAATAATATAGTTGTCCATTTTTAGTTCATGCTCTATGTATTATTTTTTTATATCCATACTAACTACTATTTATATGTACTCCTGAAATGAATACAAAATAATAATGGAAGTAAACTGTAACTGAAAAATAAAAACAAAAAATAGGGAAACCAATACTTGAAAAATGGAGTGTCCTTTGAGCCATTTAATCACACCTGAGGGGCTCTGTCCTCTTCAGACCGCAAGGCCATGACCATGTGCCAGGCTCCCGTAGGGGCGTGTTGCGTGAAGACCAGGCACTGTACTGGGAAGAGGCGCCCTCTGAGGGGCTGCCTGGCAAACTACAAATACCCGCGAATCTCACACACCTGTGCTGACCAGCCGTTTGCACTGTGGTTGTTCTTTCCTAGTTTTCGGTGCCCCTTTGGACTTCCGCAATCAGAGATGGCAGCAGAGGTAAGATTTTTTTTTTTTTCACTTAGTCTTCAAAGTCTTGGTGTTCTCATTCCATGATGGAGAACAGCAAAGGAATACGTCAGAAATGGGAAGGAAAAGCACCACTGGGCGGGTTGCCCCACATCTTCTGTCCCTGGCACTGAGGAGCATTTGGGGACAGAGGGGCGTGTAGAAAACATCACATTCATGAGTCCATGTGCTTCTTGGCTTTCTAACCTGGAGCTAGTTGCTCAACTACAGTGGATAGAAACGGCCAAGGTGATAGATGTCCGGGCCTTATCTCTCCCAGCATCCTATCTAAAAATGATCATTATTAGCCTTTGTCCCACTTTTTAATGGCGATAGCCTTAAGCTAATTGTCCTGTGTGTACATCTTGTACCCATACAGCAAGTGTGCGCATACTCGGCGCCCATGGTGAGCATGGACCTGTCATAGCCTCTTCGGCCCAGCAGCATCCTACTGTAGAGTAGGTTTTAGTAGATACTCTGTCTGTAAACACATGTTGATAAGTTGATTAAACATTTGAGGATTTCTCTTGAGGATGACTTGTGGTATCTAGCCTATACCTCCCTTGATTTTATAGGCGACATCATCGGAAACTGAGGAGCCTTGGTCTTGTCATCCGGCATATGCAAGATACTGGCGTCATTATCACCAAGCAATGGCTTGGATGCGAAGCCACCAGAAGGCCTACCGGAAGGCCATGGAGTCTTACTTCCGGTCCCCATGGTACCTCACTCCCGAAGGGCTTCCCCAGGGCTCTTACGCTGAGGAGGGCAGATCTCCTCAGTCCTTCTGGGGTGGGCACTTGGCTTCCCAGGACACCCGCTGTGGTTATGCACATTCCGCACGTGCTGAGCAGCATCCTCCTGACAGCATGAGAGGGGCCCAAGCTTGGGCCACGGAGGAGGAAGAGGAGAGAGAGGAGGAAGAAGAGGAGGAGGAGGAGACCGACTCAGACGAGGGGGTGGAGTGCGACCTGAGCAACATGGAGATCACCGAGGAGCTCCGCCAGTACTTTGCAGAGACCGAGAGGCACAGGGAAGAGCGCCGTGAGTGCATGCTTCCTCTCCTTGCCCTGCATCCTGCAGCTTTCTCTTTCCTAAGCTACATCAAGTCATTTTCCAACTCCTCAGCTGAGTACAGATAATATTCCGTAGCCAATCCTAACCTTGGAAAAGCTGTGGTGATCTTGCACCTCAATTATATTAGTTTCCAGAGCTATTTTAATATAGAGTTTTTTTTTAAGTTCTAGAACAAAGCTCAACCTGACAGTATCTCTCACATTTATTGAATGTTACGAGACTATGCCAGGCGGAGAGTGTGTGTGTGCGCGCGTGTGTGTACACGTGTATACACACGTGTGTTCCCTAATGTACACAACAGTCCCTCAAAGTACGAAATGCATTTTACCAATGAGGAAAGTGAGCCTTCAGAAGGTTAGCTGGCCTGCTCCCATGGCATGCAACCAGTCATTTGCTGTTAGGGTTCCAACCAAAGTCTGCCTGACTCTGATTCCGGTGCTCCTTCCCCATGCAAACTTGGGGATTAGCTTCTGTCCCTACAGCAGCTAGGTTCCTAAAATCCTGTGGCCAATTCACAGATACACAGCTCTGAGCCTGCCCTGGTGCTCCGAGCTATCAGACCTTAAATGGTAAGCTCCCTCCCCTCAAAGCAGAGATGGGTGTGAACTTTAGCAGAATAACAAAATGCCTGGTGCTTAAAGTTTCCAGATGCGGGCATTGAGAGCGTCTGCCCTGGGGGCTGGAGCCTTGTGGGAATGCTCTTCTATCTTTAGTCACAAAGAAACAATTTCTTTCTTTCTCTTTCTGTCTCTCTCTGTCTCTCTCTCTCTCTCTCTCCCAGAATTAGAATTTCTTTTGTTGCTCTCCTTACTATTAAGATTATCAGACTGTTTACTTAAGTGTCTCTAACAGATATACACGTACCTGTTATTTTCTGTCTCTGATAACCAGTAGATTGTCTCGATATTGTTTGTGTTGAGTTCCAATGATATGCTAGTTTACCTGTAATTGTTAGTAAACAAAAACCTAGAAGCCTCGGAGGAGTTTCATTTCCACTGTCAGTGATCCATGTTTTCCTTGGGCTAGCATTTGTGGATGCCACAAGGTGCCCTTCAGTATCTTTGCCTGTCATTCTTCCTTCAAGTGAGGTTTTTTTTTTCACTTCCTTTCTTTTGATTAAACTGTTGACTTTTTTCACGTGCTTTAGAAAGTATACCCAAACAAGTATTTTGAAAACAGGACTTTATATTACACACAGAATACATTTCTTTCCTGGATCACCAGGAATGAAGTCGTGCTTCTTTCAAAATACATACAAAATAACTGTTAATCTGATGCATGAGGGAGAGCAGCCAGTGGTTCGTGTGCACATTTGGTTGGAGTGCTGTTTGTTACTTTTGAAAAAGAAAATATGATGGCGATAGGGCTTATTTCTGTTGTCCTTACCAGAAGCTGTTTTTCCCCCAAGAAACTGATAATTTGATAGTAACAGTTGTAGTTAAGGATAGGAGCAAACCGCAGTCGTAAAAAAGGCCATTTTCAGTTATCTGCTGATTTAAAATAAACCCGGTATTCAATGAAAATAGATATGAATGAAATAAACATAAAGTCATGAAATGTGTTCTTCCAGGGTGAGCGATTCCGTTACAGATATGGGTAAGAATATCTGTTTAAGTGCTAGGCATTTTGTTACTCTGTTTAGGTGCACACTGAGCTGTTCCCCCTCTTGCCTTTGTCAGAACCCTAGGTAGCTTTTAAAAAGTCATGAAAATTATCTCCTGTTTTGTGCCTGGCACTCAATATTATTTTGAATGAATGAGTGAAGTATTTCATTACTAATTATGAGCCTTACATCAGAGGTTTTCTAATCTTATCCCACAAAGTGCTAGCCTTGCTGTGGTTCTGTGAGACATTTTACAAAGTGAGTTGGGCTTGAAATACTTTATAAACTTGTTGACCCTCATATTTTGGTTGGTAGTGCTCCTAAGTCTTCTTAACTTACTTCAAGGCTCAGATGGCACTGTTCCCATCACTGTTACAGCTTGAGTTGGGTCCCTTAAAAAAGATATATTGGAGCCCTAACCCCTACCCTCCAGGCCTCAGGATGTGGCCTTATTTGGAGATAGGGTCTTTAGAGAGGTAATCAAGTTAAAATGAGGCCATTAGGATGGACCCTGATCCAGTGGGACTGGTGTCCTCATAAAAGGGACTTTGGACACAGACATACCCGGGGAGAATGCCACGTGAAGACTGGCGTTCTGCTGCCAGGAGCCAAGGAACTACCAGAAGCTAGGAGGGGGCCCCGAACAGGCCCTTCCCTAGCAGCTCCCCTGCCCGGGCGGCGCGGCCCTGCCGACCCTTGATCTTGGACTTCTGGCCTCCCGAACTGTGAGACCATGCATGTCTGTTGTTCTAAGCCATCTATTTTTTGTCACTCTGTCACGGTGGCCCTAGGAAGCTAATACACTCACCCTGCAAGAGTTGTCTTATGGTGGGACATAAAGTGAACTGGAAAGGTGTTATTGCCTCTGTGAGGAAAATGTGGTGTGTATTTGTCTTACTGTAATCTAGATAGTAAACCAACAGAAAGGGGAATTTTATGGAAACCATTACAACCTTCATCCTTAACCTCACTCCCCAGTATTTACATTATTAACAGTAACATTATACAGAGGCAACTGTGGCAGAACCACTTACTAGCCAGAGGTTCTTACCCATTTGTGGGCCACCTTCCCTAACCTTTCTGTGCCTCAGTCTCCTCAGTGTGAAATGGCGATTCTAACTGATGCAGTGGCAATTCTGAAGGTTAAAAGAGATAATGGAAGGAAAGTAAAAGTAGTGCTTGGTACAAAGTCAGTGCCCAAGAATCATTAGTTGTTATGGTCAGTTGCTTATAAGTCCTCCTTTATCATGGACTATGCACCATAAACTGGTTTTACTCTGACAACTGTTTGTCCTGATCAGTGCTTGATTCAGATTCTGTACCTTTTGGATAAAGATGTTCTGTGACTTCAAGAAAAGTCACGTATTTCTGCTCTAGGCAGCACTTAAACACTAAATTGATCTAAATATTTAATATTGAAATATTTAAAGCATAAAAGAATTAAATGTTGAGGTCTGTCAAATTTAGTGATTGAGTTCTGTTTCTAGGACATTCTTGCTTCACAGAACTTGATATAGTAAAATACCTGGGCGGGAAGAATGAACCCACTTCTACATTACTAATCACAGCACTGAACAAATCAAGCTTCCACTTCTTTGTGCTTTTTAAAATGTGTAGTCCTAGCAAAATTCAAAACTACTTGTCTCCGCCACGCTTCTGTGCCCAGCAGTTAGTCCTGAAAGCATTATGAAGTCCCTGGGAGATTGACAAGTGTCTGGTGAGGCTGAGAACAGGCTGCAGTGCCAGAATCTTACTGCTAAAGACCTGGTCTCCATTAGAAGTGGCTGCCAGGGCTTGGCCTGCACCCCCAATAACAAACCAATGCGCAGTGGTTCACCAGCATGATTTTTTTCGCCAGCGCTTTCGGTGGTATATGGGATGAATATGTGTTCCTTTGAGCAGTAATGAATGATGGAATTCAGATGTAAGTAATTTGAATGCCTGGGATGTTTTCCAATCCGTTGCCTTTACTAGAAATGTTCGTGGAGGTTTAGTTCCATACACAGTGGGGAAATGCTTAATAAAGAGATGAGGTACCTGAGTAGTGTGAATACTTGGTTAAAGCTGTTTTTGTTCTGCTCTTTGAACCACTAGAAGCTACTTCCTCAGTAAGGGCAAATTCAGCTTTGAATATGAATCATTTAGAGAACACAGAATTTTATAAAATGTTACTAGCAAAGGAAAAACTGAGCTAAACTTGATTTAGCTTTTCATCATCTGAATCTTATTTAATGTTTTCTTGTGATGAAATCCTTCGGATTAGATGGCATGGTCTTGCTTGTGATTTCTACTCTTCCATATACTCTAATTTAACATCTTTCAGTGATAACAAAACATTAAGGAAGATAAAGCCCTTTTGTGCAGTGGGAACAAGCATGCTTTTGATTATGTTCTATCATCATTTCCTCATGAGATGTTTCCATTATTTAAAACTTCAGTGGTAACATGACTTATGGGAAAATATGCAGTTGTGACGTTTTAAAGGTCAGCTGTGTTTTCACCTACTTCTTAGGAAACATCTTTATTGTCATGTTAAAAAAAAAACATTTTTTAGGCATAAAGAAGCATCGGCTGGGTCTGCAAGTTTATTGTCCTAATTTTTAGAGGGGAAAGTGGATGCATGTTATCATTCCCAATAGAAAAGAAGGCCCCCCCAAAAAACAAGCACTGCTACTGTTGCATTGGGTTTCAGCCAGTCAGATATATATCATGTGTTTTGGGGCCAGATGTGGGGTCGAAAGAGGGACATGTTCACAAAGAGCAAACCCAGATGGGAAGAGGAGATTGATTTAAAATGATACCTAGAAGAGCCATCTGTGGTGTGATCCATGGTTACTTCTGCAAATGTGGGGTAGAGCCAATGAGCTTGGTGGACAGGGGAGGAGCTCCAGGGCTAGTTGTAGAGAAATGGAATATGCCCTAGGCTTTGAGGGGTGGGATCGATTGGGAATGAGAGAGAAAGAAAGGGGATAAGTCCACCCCCATGTGGCACTCAAAGTACTGTTCTTACCAAAGGGCCCAGATGTGTTTTTCTTACATTGGCTGGGAGGCCTCTGCTCCATTGTGTCATGTCTACCTGAGGAGGGACGTTTAGACTCTTGTCAGTTTGCTGGAACCCCATCTATTTGGTTCTCCTTCAGTCCCCCTGTACGGAAAACCTAGAGGGTATAGAGAAGGTTACGGCCCAGTATTTAGTGAGTCATTTTGGTTTAGTCCATGACATTCCAATGTGGAATCACACTGATTGAGCATAATTCGGCCATGTGTGCGTTTCATCGAGTCCAGATGTTGAGACATGCCTAAAGCCAGTCAGTGAGAGGAAATGTGTGAAAGGCTGCAGAAAAGCAGAAGGGAGGGACAGAAATGCACTTTTCTTCTACAAATGGAAATGGGGGTTGTCCAGTGGCTTACATTTGTCACGGAGTGAGGGATGTGGGGTGGGGAAGAAGAGCTACCAGACATGGCTCCGGGTCTGCACCTGAGTTCCGAGTGTGTTACTGACAAGTCAGAAACGAGGCATTCGGGATACAGACGAAGCTGTGCTTTCACTCCGTTGTGCGAAGATCATTAATGCCAGCAATGTAGCAGTGAATATAATCAGAAAGACATGCAAATGCTGGAAAAACAACATTCTTTAACACTCATTTGTCTTAGTGCTTCATCCTCCAAAACGGTCTGCCTATAGGCTAATTATCTGTGGAATACTGAAAGCATGTTTCCCTGCTATGCGAGGTTCTCTAGAGTCCCAGTCACTTCCCTTGGCTTTTTTCTTCTTTTATGGACTCCAAGTCTCTACTGGTAACATCATGTAAAGCTATAGACTGAGGCAAAAATATCAATGTACTATGTCCCGAACCCAGATGAATCCACTAGAGTTTCTTCTTAACAGTATAATACGGACCGTTTTCCGTGCGCCAACCCTGTCTGCATGGCAGCCCTGTAACAAATCGCCACCAGCTGGATGGCTTAGAACCGCAGGAATTTACTCTCGCAGTCTTGGAGCCCAGAAGTGCACAGTCAGGCTGTTGGCAGGACCACACTTCCTCCCCAGGCTCTGGGGCTTTGTTTCTTCCAGCCTCTCCTGGCTCCTGGTGTTTCTTGGCTTGTGGCAGCATAGTTCCAATCCCTGCCTCTGGGTTTGCATGGTTTTCGCCCTGTGACTCTAGGTGTCCTTCTCTGTCTCCCATAAGGCCGCGCTCCTTGGATAGGGTCCACCCTCCTCCAGTGTGATCTCATCTCCATCCTTCCCCTCATTGCATCTGCAAAGAGACCCTACTTCCAAATAAGGTCACAGTCAGAGGTTCCGGGTAGATGTGAATTTTTGGAGGACACCAGTCAACCCACTACAACTCTGTTTTAAAGTTGGACTCTAAAAGGATTATGATGTGTATTCGAACAAATTCCCATGACCAAATATCCTGCAAGAACAGAGCTCTTGATAAGGTCGAGTCCCACAGCTATTTCAGTACAAATGACCCGCTTCTCCATGACCATGCACCCGTTCAGCTATGTCTGAGGTGTGAGGGTCCCCTCCTCTGCGTCAGTCAGCTGACTGTCTGTCGGGCTGGATGAGCCCTCGCCATGTTTTGATATGAAGAAAAACTGCCAGTGACTGCAAATCCTTCCTTTCAGCGGGAGGAAGGAAGCAGGAAATAGAAAACAAGTAAGTGGGTGCCTTCAGAGAAATCTCTTCCATGCTAAGGCTTGCTTGGTCCCTGAGGTCAGCACACACCAAAGTACTGTCAGCCAGTCTGAGGGTATTTGGTTTTAAGCTGGCTGGCTTCCAACTCTGTAGTCTAGCCTTAGAACATTTTTTTTAATTGTGTGAGTAAATGCAGGTGAAGAGAGTCAAGTGGAAGGGAACAAGATCAGACGCCAACTCACCGGGGCCCTCCCCTGCCTGCTCCCCCAGCCTCTCCACCATGGGGGCTCTGAGGAAGCCAGCGAAGGGGACCTTCAAGCACCTTTTGTGATTTGAGCATCTGTTTCTCTGTCCCTGGGTTGTCGTCATTTTTCTTTAACAGCATCTGGAAGAAACAGAGCTGTTTACCAAAAAAAAAAAAAAAAAAAAAAAAAAAGCATGGCCTTGGTCCACACTTTCTCTCAACCGTCATTTCCTGAGCACCTGCTTTGTGTCAGGCATTGTGTCCTCCTGGGGCTGGGGATAGGGGTGAATATAGGTGACAGGGCCCCTCCCCCATGGGGGGCTCCTGCAGCCCTTCTACTAGCCAGCCTTTCAGTGCAAGGCACAGGCGTCCTGCCCCTTAGATCTATGTTTTAGGACAAGCGTCCACCCTGTGGGAAACCTGGAAACCTCCAAACCTCTTGCAGGCAGGGAAGGGACAGGGTTGGGCCTTACATTTTCATGAGGAAGGCTGGATGGGAAGGAGATATGAGCAGAGAACACAGCAGAGGGCTGTGTCTTTTATTCTTCCACTGTGTGAACTTTGTTAAGAACTAAAATCCAGTGATGGCAACCCATGAGCCCATGCCGAGCAAGAGCTTGGAAAATTGCACAGGCCTCATGGACTGGCAGCAGAGGTTGCTTTGTATTAACAGGGTTTGACCTACAATGTCAACAATGAGAGACGATGTCTCTTGACAGAGAATGATGACACAAATTTAATATGGGTAAGATAGTTTTTGTCAGAAGAGTGGCCAAAAGAAGCATAATTATAACCATGTTAAATTATCAGGAAAAGAAAAATGAAGATGCAAAAGTAAAAAGGTCTTAGTCACATATCCTAACGGCAGAGAGCAACACTGAGATAGCGAAGATTCCACTGTGTATTCAAACTTCGAAACTCAGAGACTCCGATTTAGACAGGAAGTTGAACATCTGTTGGGTCACTAAATCTGTCAGGAAGGCTGATGATGGTCTTGGGAGAAACTTGAGATTGAAAGGACTGTGGTCGGGGGACCTCTGTCCTCTAGATGCAGAGGCTCTGAGGCCCTGGCGGCCCCACGCGTGGGATCGCATCCTGCGGGCCAACAGCAAGGCTCTTGTAGATGGGGCCCTGTTGTCCCTGGCTAATGTGGCAGTGCCAGGCCTTCAGAGGAGTAGTCCTTGAGGGATGGGGTGGGGAACAGAATGTAAATACCCAGGAGGACTGAACAGCTTACATCCTGATGTTTCAAACTTGTCAGAAAAACCAAAAATGAGAAACAAATGCTTGTTGAGCTCCCATTCATTTGCATGTTAGGTTAGTATTTTGGTTGAGGTCTGCATTTCACAGTAAGTCAATTATATCTTTTCCATGGATAAGGTAACAGTGATATGGTATTTATTTTGACAATCATTTGGCATATCCATGTATTGCTTCCTTGTGTGAAAATGAACTGCAGATGTGCTAAGACAGAAATGGCCACATACATTTTTAACAATCTTTCCAAGTTGACAAAACTCCTTCCCTCCAACTCCAAGGTGTCATTTATAAAGAACAGGATTTATGAGAGTGACTATGCATAAATAACATAAATAACTTTCTGTTCACACTTGATTCACTCACTTTTGTAGTCCCTTCCATACTAAGCTTTCTTGCTGCTGCTTTCTTCTTAACAAGGAAAGAATGATTTATATTGTTGTTTTATCCCTTACAACCATCTTCACTCCTTACTTAGTAGCATTTCTCTTGGTAGCAATAGCAGCTATAGATGTATACATTCTACTATCAATTTCTCTGTTCTTGACAGTAGCTTACAAACATCTATGTATTAGATTAAGCTAAATTTTACTTTCTGCAGCATTGTTTTGCTGATATTTTTTAAAGCCAATTTTTTTCTACATGACATTTAAAAATTTTTTTCTACTTACGGATTTTAGAGAGAGAGGGAGAGAGAGAAACATCGATTTGTTGTTCCACCTATTTATGTGCTCATTGGTGACTTACATGTGCCCTGACCGTGGGTCGAACCCACAAACTTGGCATATCAGGATGATGCTCCAACCAACTGAGATACCCTGCCAGGGCAATTTTCCTGATATTTTTATGTTGTTTTTATTTACATGAAAGTTATATTAGTACTTGTTATAATAAAAAGGGGAGAGGATAATAAATTGAATAAAGACTTCTTGCTATACTAGAATCCATTTAAATGAGTAGAACTGAACACATGTAGCAATAGCACTTGAAATGGAGCCCAAGTTCACCTGTGAAGTGGAAAGTCAGATCCCATAGTGAGGATGTTGACACCATGTTACAAGTTTAAGTAGCAGGAAGGTTAGACATCAGAGGTTCCCCTTCCATTTGCACAATTGCCCTTGCTTAGCCCTTTTCCCTTCGGCAAGTGTTGAATCGCTTGACCTCGCGTTGCCTGGTACGGTTTGTTTTGCACGCGTGGAGAGATCATCGGCCATCGTGGCCATTCTCTGTTGCCAGCACTTGCCCCTTCTGGACCACCTAAAATCACTCCCCCGCACCACCACCTCATTTGTGGTTGGAAGTGCTACTTATTTCAACACTGGCCTTTCCAGGAAGTGCCGCGTTTCCCTGCCAGCCTGGTTTAGCGTTGAAAACCCAGTGAGCTCCCCCAGCCCTTCCTCGGAAGGCAGGCTACGGGCTGGCATGTGCGTGAGGGGAAGAACCCAGGTGGTGTCGTTTTCTCCTGTATTTTCAGGGGTCCTTCCAGAGATTTGATACTTCGGGGTGGCATGTTTGCTTGTAGCCTTTGGCTGTTTCTCTCAATGTATAGCCCCCTAATAAGTGAACAGTGAGCTTCATAACTAAGTAGATAAGAAGAGGCAGGCTGTGCCTTAGAATCTAGAGAGCATCTCAGCTGGCACAGCTGGGTCTGGCCTCACAGTTTGAGAGGGGAAAAGCTAAGGAGGCTTGGCCACATGTCGGGCAGCCATGGAATTCACCCCAGTTGACTGTGTTGGCTTGTTCTCAGGGCGGCAGCAACAGCTGGATGAGGAGCGCCTGGAGGACTATGTGAATGCCGACCATGACCTGTACTACAAGACATGCCGCTCCGTGGAACCCCCGTCCGAGAGGCCAGGCGAGCGGCGCCAGGCCGAGATGAAGCGCCTGTATGGGGACAGTGCTGCCAAGATCCAGGCCATGGAGGCTGCTGTGCAGCTGAGCTTTAACAAGCACTTCGACCGAAAGCGGCCCAAATACTGGCCGGTCATTCCACTGAAGTTCTGAGCCCTGGGCCCCAGGCCCCCTTCCACTGGGATTCGCTCCTTCTTCTGCTTCTGTGCATTTTCTTGGGGAAAGGGGACTTTATACTGAGAAATTAGTATGCTCACCAAAGTGCCAGGGGCCTGGCATGGGGGTGATATAATGTCAGGCATTTTTCAGCATCAGAGCCTGTACTGTTGTCAACCTGAGAGATTTTCTTTTGCCATAAAATGATCATTCCATATGCATTACACTTTCAGTTCGTTGAAGTTCTCATTTAGAGATACTGCTGGGGTTTTTTTTCTTTTGGTCTTTTTCTACTTTCTTCTATATTGAACCCAACTGAACTAGGCAGATGCCTTAAATGTGTCAGATTGGTGTTCTGCTGGCACTCCGTTAGCCCCTTGACAACGACCCAAAGGCGTAGCCAAACGATGGTCACTTCTCTCCCACACAAAAGTCAGCATGCATATTCTGCAAAGAGCCAGAGAGTTCATATCTTTGGCTTTTCAGAACACGCGGTCTGTGTCATGACTAGTCAGTTCTGCCCTTGCAGCCTGAAAGCAGCCATAGATGATAAGTAAACAAGTGGGTATGGCTGTGTTCCGATAAAACTTTATTTATAAAAACAGGCCGTGGGCCAGATTTGGCTTATGGCCAGTAGTTCGTGGACCCCTGCTCTAATGGATGAAACGACCTGTCTGACATTGTTCTTGTCATCTCTCTACAGAGCTTGAATGTCACACAGAACTGAGCAAAGAACAGTAATTCCCAAACCTGCTCCCCTCTGCAGTCTCTGTTGTCGAACAGGTATAATTGAACTCTTACTTTGTATAGCAAATATTATTTTGAAAGAGAATGCATTTCTGAGAATGAAAATTTGAAGATTGATGGAACAGTCCATTTTAAAAAGCCAGCTGCCTTTTAAATAAGTTATTACGGTGTGTTGCCAGGGTGAGCCTTGTTGACCTGAGAAGATTAGCACATCCATCAAAGGTTGGTAGAAAGATTTAGTATTGACATGTTTTTCCCTGAGAACACTTAGCTCCACATTTCAGCCCCTGCCCTGTGACAAATGCATTACTTTCATCAGCCTTAGGTGCTTGTTTTTCCAAGCTCTTGTTTTATTACTGGAGTTGCAATTTGAGCTTGGGTATTGCAGACCAAAATCAGTATTAATTTCCCCTGAGGTGACACATGACTAAAATTTCAAGTCTTTAGTAGTTCTCTCTCTCTGTCTCTTTTTTTTTTTAAATTTTAAACTCATATACCTCAGTAGAAAATAGATGCAACCCAGGCACAAATACAAACTAACCGTATTTGCAGCCGGTTCTTAGCTATTTGAGAGCAAAATGTTTCTCTTTACAAAGAACTCTCCTACCTTTCCCCCGAAGAAACCACCATGCCAGTGCCCACCCTCTGGCTCTGTGGCTGTGGACTTTGAGTTGCTTTCACCTCTCAGTGCTCTGCATTCCTCACTCTTCCAGTGGGTCTTAATAATTCCCCCACATGGGGTTCTTGGGAGGACCGCATTGAGTTAGTGCCTATAAAACACAGTGTTGGCTACACGGTAAATACTCAGTACATGTTGACACTTATTTATTCCCTGTCTTTAAAAATTGCCAAAGAGAACCAGTAGAAATCCTGGGTATGAGCCTTCTTCCAACTATGGAGAAATGTTCCCCTGTCAGCTTTTCAGAGGGATGCATAGGCTTCTTAACGTCTCATTCCCACCTGCCCTTCTTCCCAAATGCCTCATGGATAAAGTGTGACCAGGAGGACCTATGACTTGTTCACTCATTTATTCAGCAAATACTTGAGTCCTTCCAGGTAGCTAAACCATAGCCTCTGCCCTCAGGAGATTTGCATTCTAGGAAGGGCAGACAGGTGTGTAAAGATAGCAATTGCATTTGTGCACTAAAATTGAGAAACCTGCATGCAAATGATTCATATGCGCCAGCTCCAGAATAGTGGGTAGTTCTGAGCAGGGAAGGTATTGGAGTGCCATTTAAAAGGGCTTTTTCTGTCTCTAATGTTTATTGTATTTCTCACTTCATTTCTAGGGTTAACTGCTTCATGAAATGTTTATCCAATGTTTATATAGGGCTTACTGTGGGCCACATACTGTTCTAATTACTTTTCAAATATTAATTTCTCTAGCAATCAACCTATGACAAATCTATGAAGTAGCTATTATAGGTACACAACTGTTTTCCAAGCCATGAGGTCAGGCGTGTTTCAGAATTCAGATACTGTCATATTTTCTTTTCCATTCAGGTCAAGTTTTGTCATCAGACCCTTACAGTTAAGCCAAGTTTGGCTGCCAAACAAATTATTTTTAACAAACTATAGAAATGATCCCAGAAAGTATAGCCTTTGAATGAATTATTTTTAAAAACCAACAATAACAAAAAACAACTTCTAGTTTCCAGAGCTTTGGAGATTTCAGAAAAAGGGCAAAAGAATATTCTTATTTTTGTAGATGAGAAACCTGAAGGACAGAGAAATTAACCAACTGAACCAGGTTCACTTTCAGTGGTGGAAGTGGGTATCAAACCCAGATATTCTGACTCCTAAACTCCCCACCATTTGCTGCTTTGCCCTGCTGACCTCAGCCTCTACAACTACACTGTCAGTACATGTAAGACACACTGTTCCCAAGCATCTCGGAGAATCTGGAGCCACTTACAGCCTTCAGCAAGATTCTAGTACATTCCATGCTGGAGCATGGGGTTAGGTTCTAGTCGTAGCTCTCTTTGAGAATGTCTGACTCTGGATAATGCATTTGTACTTTTTGAATGAATTTAAGAGCTGAGGCTACAGCAACAAGAAGAAGAGGGATACACTTGAGATATTGAGGAAATAGACATTCCATGGCTTAGTGATTTGGGGCAGGTAAGAAGAAGTCTAGGATGGTAAGTTTCTGTCTTGGATGGTGGTTCTAGTCATTGATGTAAAGAAAACAATGAAAAACCAGTTTGGGAAGAAGGATAATGAATTCTATTTGGGACACAGCGAGTATGAAAGGCTCACAGGACATCTAGTGACATCCTGTCAGCCATTGACTATTTGGGTTTGGAACTCGGTGGAGAGGGTCTGCATGCATAACCCATAGACAGACAACAGTGGCGGTGGCCAGAGGGAAGGGGGGTTGGGGACTGGGTGGAGGTGGGCAAAGGTGAGGGGGTGGGGACATCTGTAATAGTGCTTCAACGCATAAGAGGAATCTGTGAAGGAAAACTGAGGGGAAATGACGAGGAAAACCAGGAGCTACAGGTGTCTCAAAGGGAAAGTCATAAGTGGGACAACCGGACAAAATGGCTTCTGCTGGAATGCATTGGGAAGTTGATAGGCCCATCAATGAAATATTTTCACAAATATGTATATGCATATATCTATATCAAATACATTGCAAATATTTTTTCAAATATATATCTATACACATAACAGAATCTAATTAAGACTCTATATCTAACTACCGATTTAAAGGACGTTCAGGGAGTAGACTAACATTTTAAAACATACCGAAGATACAATCAACCAAATCTAGAATGAGGGAAATTTGATAGGACAGAAAACTCAGTTTCTTCAACAAATGGACTTTCCAAAAGTTTATGTTGGAGAAGAGATGATAGCAGGGGAAGAGCTGTCCTAAGATGTAATGTGTAGACTTGATATGGATTGTAATTTGAACAAATTAATTATGAAAAACTTGGGGGGATTTGAATGTGGCTGTTAGAGGATATTAAAAATTATTAAATTTCTTCGGTGCAATGAGTGTTTTGTGGTTATGGTTTTTTTTTTATTTCTTATCTGAACTCTTTATGGTTGCACTCATATGCTGTCTTGGATTCCCTTTAAAGTATTCCAGGGGCAGGCAGAGCATGGGAGAGGTGACAGTTGAAACACGATCAACAAAATGTTGAAAATTGCTGAAGCTGGGAGATGGATACATGGAGGCCCCTTCTGCTCTTTTCTCTAGCTTTGTTTATGTTTGAAAATTCCATAGTAAATTTTTAGAAAATGAAATGGAATTGGAAAGAAAGAGATTAATAGTATTGTCACAGAAACTGGTAAACTAAGAACAGAAAAGGAGACTTTGGCCTGACAATCGAGAAGCCATTCATGTAAAGGATCTCAAAGTGATCTCAGTGGATAGGCGGGGAAGAAAACCAAATTCTACATCAAAAGCTAATGTGGGGGCGCGGAAGGACTGGGGCATGTCAGAGGGACACAGGAACCAATCTGAAAGAGCCCAGCCCGGTGGCCAAAAAGGAGCAATTTGAGCAAGAAACCAATATAGCATCAGATTGTAACCCAAAGTATAAAAGAAATACAAATCTATACTGATAAATGATTGAATAATAAATGGGGAGAAGAGACAGAGCTTCCTTACAGAAGAATTCCAAATATCTATAGATACTGCCCCCTGTAGGAGGGGGACCTTATTCTCCCTCCCCCACTGAGTAGGAGCTAAATGAGGGACTCACTTCCAAAGAACAGAATCTAGAAAGGGGAAAATAACTTTCAGTGGAGAAACCTAGCAGACCACATCATTTAAGCGCTCAAGGGTAACATCACCAGTGACAAATTCCATGGGTACAGTGTGCTCCCTGATGTGATCTGATGTGACAAGAAGGGCACTTTGCCCCTTGTAACCTCAAAACCCATCACTCCAGCCTAATCATGAGAGAAATATCAGATAGACCCGAATGGACGTACATTCTAGAAAATACCTCACTTTAAAACCCTCAAGGCCATGAAAAGCAAGGAAGACAGAAACTGTCACAGAAGAGACTAAGCAGACATGATGAGTAATTACAATGTGGGACCCTGGAGAAAAAGGATATTAGTGGGAAAAGTGAAATCCAGATTAAGTCCATAGTTTCATTTACTAGGAGTGTGCCAATGTTAATGTCTTAGTTTTGACACATATACCATAGTTATGCGAAATGTTAACAATATGGGAAACTGGGTGAAGGTATATAGGAACTCTGTATGATCTTTGCAATGTTTCTATAAATCTAAAATAATTCCAAAATAAAGAGTTTTGAAGTAAAAATAGAAATTTTATATTGGTTTTTGCTCATTGTAGTTATATGTAACTCTTGTTCTGCCTTTACAGAGGGACATATATTTTTATTGTTCTAAAGAAAGAATTCACAAAGCCTTATTTATTCTTTTGTGTGCTATAGAATCTGACACCTCGGATACCAGAACGATAAGGGTGAAGGGTAAGTAAAGTAAGGATCCAACCTTTGTTAGGTGCCTAATGTGTACAGTGCTGGACAATTTGCACATGTTACCGGCTTTGTTTCTCCTAACAACCTAATGAAGCATGATCCCCAGGTTTCTGAGAGCAAGTTGATTCAAAGTCAGAAGAAATAACATGCCTGATGGCTGGGAGTTGGGTGAAAAAGAGGAATGACCACTAATGGGTTGAGGATTTCCTTTTGAGGGGATGAAAAGGTTTGGAATATAGAGGTAGTGTGTACAACACCGCGAATGTACTAAATGCCACTAAATTGTTCACTTGAAAATGGTCACTTTTGTGTTATATAAATTTCACCTCCATGAAAGAAAATGTAATAATAATAATAATAATAAAAAAGACCGAGAAGCTATGGTCTAGTTTTCCAGGGTTCTTTGTAAGGATACTCAACGTGGAGTTCCAACAAACCAGCAACTGCAGTTGCTGCAGTTCTGTCTTCAGCTTCACGATGTTTCCATTGGCCAAAAAACGTGCCGAGTTGTCTCCCAGTTTGAAACATTCAGCAAATAATGGCAAGGTAGATCCACCAGAAACAAATACCTGATTTCCATGATGAAATATGATAATGCTGTATGAGCTAGTGGAACCACTTTCTGTGTTGCTACATGGACATACACAGCAACACAAATTGGAATAAAGTGGAACTTGTCCCCTGTTGGCAGAGTCACCCCAAAGGAATCGAGAGATCAGTGATCATCCCAGCTGGTGTAATAATGAATTGTCTCAAAACGAACTCATAACCGATGCCAAGCAGAAGCACTGGGTACACGATAAAATATGGAATGAGAGAAGAGATAAAATCCATTTGAAACCTTAAAAAACAAATCTGTGGTCTAGGGATGGGAGAAAAACCAGGGGGGTGATGGATAGAAATCACGTGGTGCATAATATTTCTCAATTTTTTTGTGGGGGGTCAAAGAACAGTTGTTCCACAAAATAGGTATTAGTACATGACAGAACACTAATAATACTCCATAGCACACAGTCTGAGAAACACTTTTTCATTGAATGAGTCCTCATTTTAACAAATAGAACAATGTAAGAGTCTTATTTGTTTCCAGATATCACAGAAGCCACCCATGTGGCTTCAGGAAACTGAGAGAAAAAAAGGGTCAGAGACCAGTTTGAGGAGAAGCTGTATTTGGGCTCCTTGTATTCCTAGAGAAGATAGATTTGGCGATATGCAGATGGCATGGACACACTCCAGGTGGAACTACTAGCCAAAAGCAGAGTGTATGGTTGCGTATGGAAAGTAGAATGTACATCCATCAGGCTCCCAAGGTTCTCGGACCTGGCTGCACATTAGAATCCCTTGGATCCTCCTCTAGCCGATTAAATCAAAATCACAGGGGTTGGGGCTCAGGCAGGCACCACGAGTGTTTTTAAAGCTCTCCAGGTAATCAGTGTGCAACCAGGGTTGAGCTGTTCTCAAATAGGTGTAGAGCTGTACTGATGTTCGTTTGGAGTGTGGTGGTATCCACTGCCTCTCAAACTTGAGCGTGTGTAACAGTCACCAGGGGAGCTTGCTAAGACACAGATTCCTGGGCTCTGCTGTAAGATTCGGATTCAGTAGCGTGGGGTGAGGCCCATAAACCTGCCTTTCTATTAAGCTCCCAGGTGCCACTGTCGCTGCTGGTTCACGGACTTTACGTTGAGTAGCACTGACGACAGCAATGTGATAACAATAAAGGAACAGTAAAGGAACGTTTGCAAATGACATGCTTTCTTCAAGCACAATCCACAAAAGTGAGTTCAAGTGCTCAAATGGGAGACAATGCCGGGGTGTTGGGCAGCCATGCCAGGACTTCCAACTATCCCGCAGCTCTTCATCCTCCACGCCAAGTACATCGTGGTGGGTAGAAGGTCGTGAACATGTGGGTGAGAGTAACGGGCTCGTGGAGGAGCGTGATAACCCAGAAACCTGGGAAAGGGCCAGTTTACAAAGGGCCTTCCCTGCTAGACTATGAACTCGAAGAAGCCGCATGGTCTTTACAAAGGCCTGGACCGAACAAAGCCATTTTTCAAGAAGAAGACGTTTGCAGTATTTGTTCGAAGGCGATACAGTAATGAGAATTAATGGGGCTTGACTACAGAAGTGGCAGTGGCACTGGAGAGAGAAGATAGATGTGAGGGATGGGGCAGAAATAGCAACTGCATCCTTGCAGGTGCTCAAGAAACTCCTCTTTCACTCCCCCAGCCAATCGATTAGAAATGCGCTTGGCACTACCGACCTTCTCACATCCCCGCTGCTGCCACCATGCCCAGAGCACCACCCTCTCTCCCCTGGACTCGTTCAATGACTTCCTAACTGCCTTTGCCCTCCTACAATTTATTCTCAGCACAGCGCCTACAGAGATGCTTCTAAAACATAAGCCAGATCACGTCACTCCTCTACTCCCATCTCATTTACAATAACAGCTCAAGTCCTTACAGTGGGCGGCCTTAAGGGATGGCAAAGCCTGGTCCCATTACCTTTCTGACTTTGGTTCAGTTTACTTGGCCACTTGTTCATTTTCCTCCAGCCCCACTGATCTCTTTTTACGACCTTGCTACTCAAAGGAGCAGTGGTCGGTGCCTAGACCTGCAGCACCAGCATCAGCTGGGAGCTCATTAGAAATGGCGTCCTAAATTCCACCACGGACCTACTGAGTCAGGATCTGCATTTCAACAAGACCCTCAGGGGATTCCTCTACAGCAGTAAGGAGGAGAGCAGTGATCCAGAACAGCCTGGCACACTGCTGCCCCCAGGATTTTGCATTCGTCATTTCTCTACCTGGACAGCTTGCCCTCTAAATAGCCACATAAATCACTCTCCCCCTCCTTTATTCACATTCCACCT